TTTAGATACGGTGTCCAAGTGAGACTCGCACTTGTAAGCTTCGGCTGGAAGAGTGATAACTTGTCCTTGGTCCGTACCCTTGTCGGTGATTGAGAAGTAACACACACGAAGCACACCGTGTTTTTCTCACTTAACAAAGGTGTAGTTTACGTACACTTCTTTTAGTTAGTAGATAGGGAAGTGTCAGTAGGGTTGAATAAAGAACCCTTTGACCCTGAAGTACGTGGTAGATCCGATTAGTATCGGGGACCGCTTCAGATTTCCATTCACGTATTCCCTTTTTCCCTCTCCCTTTAATCATCATTCCTTTTCAGGTGGACCATTACGACTAATCCACCACTTCATTATTCCTTTTCCGGAAGGGCCGTTACGACTCGCCCTTCAAACTTCTTACGTCATTAGTAAAGCGGGTTCCAGAATACAACTGGTACAATGACTAAGAAAACCTATTCCTTGCATGAGTTTCACGCACTCGATGAGGCTATGAATGGGCCTAAACAGCCGTTCAATTGTTACAAATGTGGAAAGCCAAATCACATTGCACGAAACTGCAGAACTCCGAATTCCCCTCCTTCCTCAGATAGCTCTACCCCTCCCAGTTGGTTCCAAGATTTCCTAGCTCATAGAGAAGCAAAGAAGAAAGAATCAATAATTCCCAAATGGTTCAAAGATTGGACCATATCACCAGAAGGCAAAGAGATGTTGGCTAAGATAAAAGCCAAGGCAGACGCAATTGCCAAAAAAGCATCAGAACCGCCTAAATGGTTTAAAGAATGGGAAGCTTCTCGAAGAAATAAAATCTTAGAGGAACAAGAGATAGACAAGTCGGGCAGTAGATACTCGATCCTTGCGAACTTTGCGGATGTAGAAGAAGTAAATCTAAAAACAAAATCAGAACACTTCTATCTTCCAATTACGCTGAAAGGAAAGAACAAATCTGCAGATTTGAAAGCTCTTGTAGATTGTGGAGCATCTACGCTCTTTATCAATGAAAAGTTTGTCAAGGAGAACAGAATTCGTTGTAGAAAATTGCTGCGTCCGATCCAGGTTAAAAACATTGATGGATCTCTTAACGCCTCAGGGATCGATGACCCATTTTGCCGAACTAGGTCTTAAAGTTGGCAACCATGAAGAAGAAAAAGTAGCATTCATGGTTACGGATCTAGGAAGCGATGATGTGATCATTGGGATCGATTGGTTGAGATACCACAACCCTGAGATTGATTGGAATGCAGGGAAGTTTTCGCTTTCACGGTGCCCGGTGAAATGTGAAACAAAGAAGGAGAAAAGACTCCGAAACAGGGCTGAGAAAAAGAAAAAGTCGGAAGAAGTCGATGACGTACCCGGCTTGTTGCCTGTTATGGCAGATCAAGATGAGGAAGAAGACGTGGCAGTTAAGAGAACGACCATGGAGGAAATAGAAGATGAGGAGAGTCCTGAAAGATTATGGATTCGATACAAAGCCTCGGTCGCCACAGAACAGAAGGTAGCAGAAGAAGCTACTAAGAAGAAGCAGTCGGTAGAAGAGATGGTACCTGACTGGCTTCATGATTACCTGGGAGTTTTCTCAGAAGAAGGATCTAAGCGCTTCCCTGAAAGAAAGAAGTGGGATCATGCGATAGATCTTAAAGATGAGGGCGATCTTCCGCCAAATGCGAAACCTTATCCGTTGTCACCCAAAGAGATGGATACATTGAAGGAATGGTTGAAAACCGAGACTGCACTGGGACGTATTAGAGATTCACAATCTCCGGTAGCAGCACCTTTCTTCTTTGTGGCCAAAAAAGATGGCAAGTTAAGACCGGTAATGGACTATAGAAAGCTCAATGAGAAGACGGTGAAAAATGCGTATCCGCTACCGAGATCTCAAGATTTGATTGATGCTTTAACCGGTGCCACAATGTACTCTAAGATGGATGTACGATGGGGGTACAACAATATTCGCATGAAAGAAGGAGATGAGTGGAAGGCGGCCTTCAAAACGCCGTTTGGTCACCACGAACCAACCATAATGTATTTCGGACTTACAAACTCGCCTGCGACCTTCCAAACAATGATGAATGAAATTCTGAGAGACCTAATAGATGGCAAAACAGTAGTCGTCTACATTGATGATATAATGGTCTTCACGAATGGAAATAGGGAGCAGCACCGAAAGGTGGTACGAGAAGTACTAAAACGGTTAAAGGAGAATGACCTGTTCTTGAAGCCTGAGAAATGTAGCTTCGAACAGTCTAAAGTCGAGTTCCTCGGGTTAATCGTGGAAGAAGGCAATGTGTCGATGGACCCTGTGAAAGTAGAAGGAGTATTAAAATGGCCTGTTCCCAAATGCGTAAAAGATATACAAGCATTCATGGGCTTTGCCAACTTCTATCGAAGATTCATACTTGGGTTCTCGGAGATAGCCAGACCAATGAATGATCTGCTAAGAAAAGATGTCAAATGGGACTGGACGGAAAAACAACAGAAAGCTTTTGATGAACTGAAGAAACGTTTCACAGAAGCTCCCGTCTTAGTCATGCCAGATGTTGAGAAGAAAAAGAAAATAGAGACCGATGCTTCCGATTACGCAACAGGAGCAGTTCTCTCTCAACTGATGGAAAATGGATTATGGCATCCAATAGCATATTACTCGAAGTCAATGAATGATGCGGAAAGAAATTACGACATTCACGATAAAGAGTTACTAGCGATCATTAGAGCGTTGGAAGAGTGGAGGCACTATGTGCAGGGAGCACCTCACCCAGTTGAGATATGGACGGATCATAAGAACCTAGAATATTTCATGACGAGTCAAAAGTTGACCAGAAGGCAAGCTAGATGGAGTCTTTTCCTAGCGGAGTATGAATTTACACTCCAACACAAGCCTGGCGTGGTTAATGACAAAGCAGACCGTCTTTCTCGGAGATAAAGGCAGCACCGGTTCAATTGCATAGAGGAATCGAAGAGTGGAATGTGGAAGATGGATTGGTGTTATTCCGAGGATTAGTTTACGTTCCAAATGATAAAGAGATCCGCCGAGAGATATTGGAGTTGTTTCACGACTCTCCACCGGCTGGACATCCTGGACGAGCTAAAACCTTAGAGTTGATTTCCAGAAACTATTGGTGGCCTTCAATGACGAAGTATGTCCACGATTACGTAGATGGTTGCGATAGGTGCAGACAAACGAAAGTGCTTCCGAGTAGACCAACGGGGCCTTTACAGCCAAATGAAGTCCCAGAAGGACCTTGGCAGACAATCACCTGTGACCTAATAGTGGATTTGCCGAAGAGTGAAGAGTGTGACAGCATATTTGTAGTCGTTGATCGATTTTCGAAACAAGCACACTTCATTCCCACCACCAAAGACGTAGACTCGAAGGGTATTTCCGAGCTATTTCTGAAGAATGTATGGAAACATCACGGAACACCGAAGAAAGTGATCTCGGATAGAGGAACTCAGTTCATATCAAAGTTCATGGGACAAATGTCAAAAAGATTAGGAACGAAATGGTCTGCGTCGACCTCCTATCATCCCAGAACCGATGGACAGACTGAACGCGTAAATCAAGAAGTCGAACAATACTTGCGCATGTTCACGTCATACAGACAGAATGATTGGGTATCTTGGCTGCCGATAGCAGAGTTTTCACACAACAATGCAGTCACAGTAACCGGTCACAGTCCGTTTAAAGTCCTCTACGGGTATAACCCAGATTTCACGATTCATCCAAACTCTATGTCCGTAATCCCCACCGCAGATGAGAGAGTTGATCAGATGAAAGAAGCGAGAGATGATGCCGAAAACACTCTTAAGATGGTCAATGAGCGCATGAAGCATTTCTACGACAAAGGAGTAAAAGAAGCACCTCAGTATAAGATAGGAGACAAGGTCTGGCTTGACGCAAAGAATCTCAAACAACGTCGTCCGAGTCAAAAACTGTCAGATCGTCGTCTAGGTCCTTTCGAAATACTAGAGAAGATCGGTGAAGTGAACTACAAATTGAAATTGCCGGAAAAATATCAGATCCACCCGGTTTTCCACGTAGAATTGCTTACGTCATATCACGCATCTCGATTGATTCCTCATCCTCCTCCCAACCGACCACCTCCAGAATTGATTGACGATCGGGAAGAATTTGCTGTAGAAGAAGTACTAGATAGCCGACTGTTCCGAGGAAAGCTGCAATACCTAGTGAAATGGGAAGGATACCCGAAGGAAGAGTCATCTTGGGAGCCAGAAGAGAATTTGAAGAATGCTCCAATTCCTTTAGCGGAGTTCCATAAAGAGAATCCCACGGCCGCAGCCGGAAAATACCGAAGAATCAAAGGCTCAGTACTATTTACGGAAGATTTCAAACGATGGAGAGAAAAGAATATCCGACCTTCATTCGTTCGTGATGACACTCACCTTAGAGAGGGGGTAATGTCACGAGTACCTTTAACAAACCATTATTCTTTCCTGAATCTTCCTAAACGTCAATACACAGCGCCTAAGATTAACCCTAACCCTACCCCGAAAGCGTCTACCAGTTCAGAGATTCCATTAGCGCCCACGACACGTGTCTTCGATGTGACTGATGAAGAAGACGAGTTCTTTGACTGTGATTAGATTAGATAAGATACGATAAGATAAGATATGGTCACATGATACTTCTTTAATATTCTACGATGTTCTATGGTACGATTCCCTTTTCTATTTTATGATTGGCTAGTAGTTAGAACTCAGTTTCAATCTCCGTTTCAATAGTTGTATATAGTTAGCATGTCTTGGTAGATAGTTCCTTAGTTCAAACCTCTTGTATCTACATTGTAGCAATCCAAGACGTACCTGCTCATTATCATTCTTGTCTGATAACCTTTGTTTGAGTCCTAGTCTCTGCCCAGCGTTAATTCGTTATTGGGTTGTGACACATCTGCGGCATCAAGTATTTCATTGATGGCAGCAGCTGCATCCAGCAAAGGATAAGCTGATAATTACATGACCTGTATCTCTCGTGTTCAGTGGCATCATCCTTGTCACTCTTGCCAATGTTCCATCTGCATCAGGCACTTTGTCAGCATTGCCCCAAACAGGTGAGTAGGTGTACCATACAGCTTCAGGTACACCTCAACTTCAACAAAGCGGGCATGGTCCAACTTTATGCCATACTCTCTAGGATGGATTAGCAATCCCTTGTCGTCCTGCACATCAGGGCACTCCACTTTCGTTTCCTTAAGTGAGCCAAGGCCTGAATAGTAGTTGTCGGGATCATGCAGGTCGTGGATGTGCAGGAACTCTAGCAATGCAGTGAGCAAGCCAAATCCCTCAATCATTGTCAGTGCCAAAATACCTCTGCCATTGCTAGTGTTTGCTGACTGGGAGCTCCTTGCAGCTGCAGAAGCCTGAGTAAGCTGCTTTGCCTTGCCTTAGGTTGGTGCACTTCATTAGTCTTCATAGATCGTGATAGGTAGTTACTCACTTGGACTCAAGAGCACACCTGATTCTTTCAAGTACAATCAGACTTTGCTCGAGACCAAATAAGCCAAGGGTAGTACTTACTGCCAATGTCTTGACATGAAATTCTGGGCACAGTGAAACCCTCCTTGGGCAAGTCCTTTAACAGTGGCTCCGACTGGACCACAAGCACAAAGCAGTCCTTTGATTCACATGTATATACATGCACAAAGCCTGATATTGTGGGGTGTTCTGCCTCTACCTCTGGAATGCCTGCACTGCAGTGAGCGATTGATCATTCAGACATAGTGATCACTCACCGGCATTACGCAGTGTCTTCAATGTCTGTAGTCAGTGCAGACAAAGTATCCAGCACCCTACACAACATCTCTAGAGCTTCTTGAGGATAATCCCCACTGTCTTCATTGTCTGGTGCTAGGAAATGAAGTTAAAACTGCGCCCACATCTTCCTGAGGCTGGCCACATCGATCTGATGACACAAGGAAGGTCTGCATCAGAAAAGCTCATGTCTCTAATACAATACACACCCTGGAGTTAAACAAGTTGAAATATGGGCCAAGTCGGCTGTACTGGCCATAGAAGTCGAGCCTCACCACAAATTTCATGTGCAAGAGATCACCAGACCCATTCACCCAATATTCAGCCTTGTCCCCCATGAGTCATCAAAGGGGGCATGGGTTGTTCTGTACTGGAATATTCTCTTCACTGCAAGCATCTGCTATGAAAGCCCCATGTGATAGCACACTCCCAAGTAGTGAGATATACAGGAGCGACCTCGCCTCTTCAATTTTGTCCTCAGATGGTACTGGAGGCACACCAGGCTCAGCATCTGCTGAAGCGATTGCGACTTTGCGCTGAAGAGCTGAGCATCTTGCAGAAGTCATTCCAAAACAGCGAGGCAAAGGAGAAGGACCAGGACAAAGTGACAACACCTATCACACAATCTTAATAGTGGTAGTGTTCTTGCCAGGAACTTGATCAAATTCCACTCTTGTATTGTGTGGTCCCTGGTGTTGAAATTACAACTCAATGGTGTCAGAATCTGAAACTTTGCTGAGCAAAAAAAATAATTCGATTCATTGACTTACATGGTAAACCGAATACTGAACAATCAGCTGCCTTTTGAATTAAGTTGAAATCTGCCGTGAATTGACCTCCTAGCCTATTGATCTGATGTCGCACACACCATGTCATCTACCTGGTATATTTCTTGTACTAGGTCTGCCTGTGTTCGTATTCCCATGAATTCATGTCTGATGCACTTTGAAGATCAGAGCAACACACCTACACCATAGTTCTCTACTCATTGCAATTGCACTTGTGTTGCACACACCAGTATTCAGTATCCCATTGTTGATCTATCAGACATCATCTGTCAATTCCAAAACCGCACAAAGATGAAAGGTCTGTTTACATTTGGCTTCTCAAGGCGCACCCAGATTTACTATCCACCCAGACTTCATATCATTCCTTGTTGCGGAGGGTGTCATTATATTCTTTATAGATGATGAAGAGGAAGCTTATGCTCTGAACCACTTGTTTCATAACAACTAAGGCCAAGACTGCCGAGATAAACACCATTCATTGTATATCCTCAGAAATTGTGGCTATATTATAATGGTGCTGCCAATGCTATCAGATTGTATGGCTTAGCGAGACAGATTTAGTCCACCACAAAGTTATGAGGTGTGTTCGGAGGAATTTATAGTCAGGTCCAGATCTGAACACTTCTGTGTCCCACCATGTCATGCCAGAAGACAATTAGCTGGATATGTGTCATTCCCATCATACCTGCACCTGCTCCCATCCTTGCACTCATGTTATGCTAGGCAGTGGGTTGAGTCATGCAGTCTGGTGCTATAATTGGCGACAGCAACATGTGACACAAGGAGACGTGGTGGGCATCTGAGATTGAGAAGGCTTCTCAGTGGGCGTGCCTGGTGTGTTAGAAGTGCTTGGTGAGTTGGTAAGTAAGGGCACTCACTACCAAGTGATTATTGCGGCATGCAACATTTGAGGATGAGCAGGCAGGGCAAAGCCAGGCAGTGATCATGCAAATATTCAAAATCATCCGGCAAATGCCGGTAATACAGACTGGCCTGTGTTCGCTCGCTGGCTACTGATAGGGCACTTCACTTCCCGTACTTTGAGTAGTAATTAGTAGAGTCACCTCGGTATAATCATAAACTGCGCAATTGATCCTTGTTCATTCGGAACAATTGTCTGGCTAAACCGCTGCCAAATTTGCACTTTGTTTATTCTCGAGCCCCGATAGATTAGCGTTGTTCTGGACTTCGGACGTTGCGCAAAGTCTTATACTGTTATTTGACACACCGACATACTGACACATCGACACACCAACATACCAACACATCGACACACCAACATATATAGACCTTCGGACAGCTTTCGCAAGCCTCGGAAGGCATCGCACTACTTTGGACAACACTTTTGCAGCCTTGGACAACCTTCGGTCGCATTGGACAAGTTTCTCGGTACTTCAGAAGTAGTCTCGGAACTACGGACGAGCATTAAAGAGTTTTTCTTCCAATATCTTGTCTACTCTCTAACTGTATAAGACTTCCCTTGCATTATCAAGGTAGTTCTTAGGTTGTCTCTTGGGATGAAGCATACTCGCATCCCTCAGGACTAGGGACTCACATTCAGTAGAGCCCAGCCCAGATCTACTCTTTACACCGGACAGTCATTTACTATCAGCCATACTTCAATGATGCTCCTTCTCACTTCACCTTCGAACTTGACGATTCTCATGCTCAGTGCTGACTTATGTGGCCCATTCTGGACCCCAACCGCACTTATACTAGCGTTAATTCTGTCCTCATCCTTTGTAGTAAGCATCTCATCCTACCTTTCTGATGCAGGATCTGCATTTGAATATGACTTTGACATACTAGGTCTGGCAACTACGATCATGTATCAAGTGTAGTGGAAGCACTCAGCATTGGGACCACTCATAGTTTGTCTTGATACTGGGTTCGGTAAGCACATCAATTGTCACAATTTAGCTGCATCTATTTTTTGAGTAACTGTCATTTTTAGATACCAAGTGTGATACTGACCACTCTTTAATGTTGGATTCTTGCAGTTAGTTCTTCTGAATTCCATGCATTGAAGGTACTCGCCTCATCTTCAGACTGCCTGCCTCTTTTCCATACATCATCAGGTGTCTGTGCATCCTCCCCAGTGTGACATTGGCCTGACCTGTTTCTTGATTGCAAACTAATACTTTTGCAGGCCATTTGTTGTGAAGGCTATCTGCCGCTCCACTCAAGTGCTTCCTGGTATTGATTGGTATGGTGTCGCCAGAAGTAGTATTGTGTAGATTGTTGATGACTGTCATAGGCCAATCTGAAACCACTCGCTTGCCGACAATAGTGGTTGGGGCACTGCACGCTGGGTTAGCATCAATGTTCAAGGTGCTGCTCTTCATTTAGGGCCTGGAATAGACCCTGCATGGAGAATTCTGTAAAGCACTGCTACACAAGCCTTTCATCAGTTTCATTGCAATGCATAAGTTTCCTTTCACACATATCATGAAGCGAGAAAGGACAGACCATAGCAATTGCCACATGATAATAAAAATTGTGCATGATACACAAACATCTAAGTACATGAGGGAGTATCGAGGTGTGCAGGACAGGAAGTTGTTCACTGGCTTGGCAATACCTCAGGCAAGAATATTTCGTCCAAGTTCTCCCATATACAGTTTCACAAATACTAATAGAACACTTCACCTCAAGCAATGACCGAGTGAAAGTGTTGTATATCCAAGGCATGGTTAGAGTCAAAACAACCAAACCTGATCGATTGGTAAGGTATTTCAGATTCAACACAAGCACTCAGCTACAGTGTCATTGACACATGAATCATCACAATGCCTTGGAATGACTGGAACATCTGAACATTCACATTTATAGTATTTGTATTGTGTTATAGCACCTGCTGCCCCATCTCAATTGCCCTAGGCCCCATCCTTCCAGCCTAGTACAGTCACACCCATGGTGTCTGGTGAGTCCCTCTATTCAACTTTAGGACAAGTGTCTGATGAATTTTAAGCAGTTTCAGTCATTCGGCTTGGAAAGCAAATCCATTTGCACCTGATTGCAGTTTGCACCTTATTGACTCAAGGCAGTCCAGGCCCTGTGTCTGAGGAGAATCCACCTCTGCAATTCTTGCGTACCCCAGCTGATGTTGCTATGAGTAAGTCAGCACATGAGCCATGATCTGTGCAGCTTGCCTCACCAAGTTAATCCAGCTCTGAGTACACCATCGCTTGTCTGGGAGATCTACAGTTATCTCCCTATGCTGACCAACATTCTTGCATGGAAGTCAACTAGTCACTGAACACAATTAATTTGGCAGTCCATTGCCACACAGCATTTCACACAAATTGTGCATCCTTTCATTGGCGACTATACTGCTGAACTATGTCATCTAATGTATACCTGGGGCGCCATCATCACTGGATCTTGTGCATTGCAGATACTCACTGGAGGAGATCATGCTCCAAATGACTTAAATATTGTGTGTCCAACAGGTAGCTTTGAAGTGCTGCAAGAGTTCATGTTGGACTCACTCAATTATCGATGGATGGATGCAATCACACGATGCAACTATGCTTTCCGGCCAGTTGTTAGATCATTTGCAAAGTATCAGCATGGACAACTCATCACATTGTGCGAGTCCATCAACAATGACATATTTGATGTCATCACCAGCTTGCATACCATAGGGGACATGCTTATCATGATACCAGGCAGTGTTGTGGTGTTCTACCCTGAATGGACATTGAATGATGTCATATTACTCACTCATAATGTGACCAGTTGCATTCCAGGAATTAATGTGGGGTGCATCGACAATGACAGGCATGTCGTTCATGAAAACACAGCATTCCTGCAGCAGCTGTGCGGTGACTTCTGTCCTACTCTTTGGTGCAACATCACAGACAACAGGGCATGCTCTCTAGTACTGGAGTGGGACAGGAGATATCCTATCAGGCCATCAATGTCGCAATCCAACTCAGCCTGGCGACTAGCAGAGCATTGTGCCAACCCCTTATACCCATACAACCCTTTGACCAATGCTTGCCTCGCCCAGCTCCCACCAAATTTGCCAGTCACAGACCAGCTAACCATGTGAGAGCAGGAAGCATGGCTCCATAACCACTACTCTGTTTTTGTTGGGCTCACTCTACCATTTTTGTCATGCTGACATGATAAATTTATAGAGCTACATGAAATGCTACATGGAAATGCTGTATGCTTCCACAGTGTCAACACCTCTCCTCATCCCTGTACCTCTCAGAGATGGCGTGACACAACTGAAGCACATTACCAAACTTGAAGTGCTGCACTGGGTGAACTGCCTGGGTGAGAATCAATTCAATACTGACATAGCATGCACACATAAAACTTTCAATGTTGTTGCAAACACCTCTTCGCATGCATGTGGTTATGGCTATACATTCATCCGGGAACATCCTGCATTGTACCCACCACCAAATGCTCTGATTTGTGACATTACAAGTGACTTAACGAGTCACAACTCTGTTATCAGAAAGATGTTGGTCATCAAACACACTGCAGGCAACAAACACAATGTCATCGATCAGACACTGCAGGACATCCAGAGTATCAATTCAGTTATCAGACAGCATGTCACAATGTCTCACAATCACTCAATTCTGACTTTTGCTCTTAATACTCAAGTACAATAGAAAACTCAGAGTTCTGGACATAAAGGGGCACCACCTCCATACTGTAGTAATAGATGTGCATTCAAATAATGTTGTACAGAGTTCGAGAGTCCTGTGTAATACAGCCGTCACCACTCACAACACATTAAGCTGGGTTATTTGCAGTCGACCATCACCCAAAGGGGAGACGATATAAAACTCATGGAGCAACCAGTGCAGTGCATCCCTAGTCAGGAATTGGATAAGTGTGAGACTGCATTGATGAATGGTCACATACTCATATTCAATGGGTGTGAGCTTGAAGACATCTGAGACTTGATCATGCACCTCAGATTCCAGTGTACCATATGGTGTGGTGTGCTGTAGATCAGCGATGACTGAGAAAATCACAAGGATTCTGCATCTAAACAGGTGGTCCATATTGTATATCTATGCATTAGTAAGTTTTGCATGCATCCTAGTAAGCCAATAAACAAGACATACTGCAGCACCATGACAAGGACACAGGCAGGCACGACCATCATGAACCGATCACTTGGTTGTATTCTGTTGACAGAGGCAGGTACAGGTGCAAGGGTCAGAATCATATGTGCACAGCGGAGGAGGGCTCAGGTCCAATTGGTCTAGGAAGAGTACTGGAGAGTGGAAGGAGTTGGTGGGGAGGTCTGCAGCCCAAGAGGATACAGGCTCGTGCAGGAGCTCAAGTTCCAAGCCTGTGTGGGAGAGTTCATCCATGACTCAACCCCAAACACAGTGTATGGCAGTCGTAGTAGGCAATGCTCCAGAAATTGACAAATGAGAATGAAAGCTCTATAGAGTGAATGTGATGGCTTTCAGTTCATGAGGACACAGTGTAATAATAGTCACGGCACTGGGCTCAAAACCTGTGTTTTTGATACTCATGTTAAACAGTATTCATCTGGTGCATCCCCGACATTACGATCCTGATCCCGACGCCTGACCCTGACCCGAAAGTTTTGGACCCAATGTTTTCGCATTGGACTTGTCCTCCCTATGTCCTGTCCAGTCATATCTACCCCCACTGGTGCATATTTACTTGTTTTCGCATTATTGAACATTACAGACAGCGTTATTACATGTTATCTACAAAAAGGTGCAGTACACATGCTCTTTTACATACATTTGGACCCGATTTTGTGCTACTGTTTTCGCCTAATGCACTCCAAAATCCTACATAGACACTATTTAATATCTAGTACTTCCTACCTATAAATTACTTACTTTTCCCTACTCAGTAGTAGGTTGGAAGTCATTGGATATTAGTAGTACTTTATTGTATTGCGAAATATCTATCCGCTCTTTTTCTCTGAAACATTCCAACACATCTGACACTCATTTGACCAACAATCCAACACACTTCTGACACATTCCTTTATTGTCCGACACATTCCCAACAGTCCGACACATAGTCCAATGCCCGACCCAACTCCGATATTTTCAGACCTGACAGTTTCCCTTTGGACGAGTAGTTCATAGCTTCAGATTATCTTCCTATTATTGATAACTAACTATCTAAACTAATACCAAACAGCTACCTCTATAGGATCGAATGCACTTGCTCTGCAAGTATAGCAGACTAGGTTGTGCTAAGATCTACCTAAATATTTGTTGTCTAGGTAGTATGATTTTTGCTGAGTCCAGCTGGGAATCAGCTTTCTACAGCAGCTTTTGCACCCTTGCCTGATAATATACACTTAATGTTGTGGTTGTGTTAACAGAAAACGAGGATGTATGGGTTAAAATAGTTGATGTTGGGATCTCTACACATAAAGATGACCGAGTTTGTTTCAGGCTCAAAGTGCGAGGACTCTATGACCTCATGTGGAAAGAGGAAACAACATCTACCTTCATTCCCATACTTGTGACAAACAGGACGACAAGTGTGTCATTGTAATGACTTGCCACACCACTTGATCTGAGTAGCTAACACAGAGGCCCACTCCTTGGTGCTGATGAGGGAGGGGTTACCCACATTGACTGTCTAGGACAGTTGGTGGCTGGGGTGAACGTTCAACACAAGGATCAAACTTAGGATCAATATTAACATCAACTTCAGGTAGATGATGATGAATAATGTCATCAAAGAAAGCAAAAAACTGTCTTTGGTAAGCTTCATCATGGAGCTCATATGTATTTCCGAAGGATTGGCCCCTCCATCTAACCAAAGGAGGAAGTGGCCATGAAGAGAGCCTTGCTCTGTGTATTCAGAGGAACCATAAAATGCACGCAAATGCCCAAAAAGACCACCTGGAGGGCTTGGGTGGTTCACTTTGAAGTCCCAACCCAGAAGATGCTCAAAGCAACATCTCCACAAAAACTCAAAGAAATCTGCACCTGCAACCGGGTCCTGAGCCAACCGCAGGGCATGCTCACGTGCAGAAAGTAAGCGAGGGAATTGAGCTGACAGGTCAACAGAATGATCACCATACATCACCTGGAAGATGAGACTATGGACTGTGCTTGGGTTAAAAGTGAAGAACAGGTGTGGCAGTCCAAAATAGCTGAAGTACCCACGAATTTCATTTCAGACATAAATTTTGGAGGCCTGTGAACCTGGAATATGCACAGACATGGTGTTAACCTGCCTCAGTAACTTCAAGGCTGATTGCTCCTCAGCACTCAACTGAGAATAGTTGTGTTCTCATTCTAAGCAACATGTGAGGCCATCTAATACTTGAGCAGAAACCTGTGTCAGTTTGCAGGCAACATTATCAAAGTTCGATTTACGTACCGTGAAGAAGGTCTGCAAATGGGCAGTCCAGCATTGAATCATGTTCAATGCTACAAACAGGTATGAATGATGGTAACGAAATGACTGGTCGACCAGGGATAAGTAGTAATGTGCTTGTGCCTCGAATGAGAGAGCAGTGGGTCTCAGTGGATCTTCAAAGCTGCCAATGCTGCAGGGAAACAGAGTGGGATACATACCAATAAGCAGATCTGGATTATGGTACTCAGTAATCGCTTGAGAACCCCTGTGAACGATAAAATCTGGCAGAGAGCTGGAGCATGAGAACAAATTGCGGAGGGCAGCTGCAGTGAATGTACGCCCACTTATTTTGTCACTCTCAGGGTCAGAAACACCCATTTTCTCAAGCATAACTACTTGTTCAGTATGTACACCATCACTTTCATCAACATCTGGATCTTCATGCAGTGACTGGGCAGGGTGTGGGTCAAACCCGGCGGTTTCTTGCTCAAAAACCATGCAAGGATCAAGCTTGTGGTCCTCAATCATGCATTCTGATAGCCCTGGCAAGATGTCATCATCAGGGTACATGGAAATTATAGCTGAGTCCAAAGGTATACTTGCATAAATTTGGTTGTGGTTCTTGAGCCAAAGAAGAAAAGCCCAGATCTTAAGTTTACGAACACGAAAGACTGTGCCAAGCTGTTTGGCATTAAATCTGCCAGGTCCAATGAAGATAATGCTCAGGAGGCCATTAACGTCAGATGGCATACGTGGAAGGACCGAGGCCATGGACACAATGTTCATGTCATGTGCACAAGTGTTTCCATAGAAGACCTTAGGCTGTGCAGGATCAGAGGACTGAAATAAGCGAGTCACATGAGCTGTGACACAATAGATCGTGCATATCTTCTCCTCGATCCAAGAGATATCTTGTAAATGCAGAGGAAGTTGCCCTCGATACAAGTTGTTAGCCAATGCGAACCGAGAAACCTTGTCAGGTTTCGACAATGATGCATGACATGCTGAACACAGAAACAAGCATACAAGGTCAGTGCTGCAATCCACTAATGCCTGCATGATCAAGCATGAGACCATCAATAATTGGGCAATCAAATGAGAAGGCAGCAGACAGACCTTGAACTACACATTTCTGGATGATGAAACGGTCTGTGACACACAAAGTATCAAGATGGAAACTTGGAGCATCATTTGCCATAAAACTCACGGCCACACAATCCTGTTGATAGCAAGCACATACAGCACATACAGGAGGCTCAGACCACTGCGAAGCTTGATAATAGTTGTTGAGACATGAATAGATAGTCTCTTGAGAGACGACGACCTGCCAAGCATGACAATATTCCTGAGCCAAATGCTCATCCTCGACAACTCGTGAATACTTGTCCTCACGTCGCTGTAGCTTCCATTGTTCAGTTTTGGACAAGAGCTCACAGGACAGGCATTGTACGACATCAGAGCCATACTCATATTCAAGAATGGCTGAAATGCACTGAACATCCAGCAAATCAGTGGGGTTTAGAAAAGGAAAGTATGAAAGCCATATGTCGCTCAGTACACTGGCGTCCACAGCCTGCAAATACATTGCACGTTCACGTATGTGGCAAGCCAGCCCATTGCTGCTCTTGGTACGTGACCAGGTATTTAACACAGGGCGACCATCAAAAGGCAGACGGCAGATGCATTGCAATAGCACGTCGACTGACAGAGCACACAGTCGACAAGTAAGAGACTCAATGGAAAGGGTAGACCACAGAATATGTGAACAATCCAGGTTGTCACATACATAAAAGCCCTGCGGGGGGAGGTGAAGCACCTCAGCAACCTGCTTGCCATACAAGCAGATAAAGTGTGCAGTGAAAAGAGGAACTAAACAGTGGTCACAGCCAGAAGGAAGGACAACATCTGAGAGAGCTTCATTGACAGACAAGCAGGGCAAAGTGGTCAATGCAGCGCGAGTTTGAACAAAGTGCCTTACAATAACATTAACGTGATCCGATTTTTTCCAACCACTTTCAACTGATGGAAGGAACCGGTGTCCTGCATGATGTGGGAATCATGCATGGACATGAATACTAGGTGACACTCAAAAGACAAAGTCTGTTAGCTTAGTCCTCAGACTAGTCAACCCATACCTTGGTTTCAAACCATGGTCCATATTTCCAGTTTTTCCCCAAGTTTCACAATCTGAATACATTTTGACAGAAAAAGTCTAATGTGAGATGGGAATCACATTTAGACCTAGTTGATGTGAGAAGGGAAATGAAGGTTAAGGTATAGCCTTGCCTTTGGCTTATTCACTTTGGCTAGAGAAAACCATAGAGAAAAGTACAAAGCCTATAAAAAACCTATCCAAAAAGACCGTGTTTCAATTCCTGCCAACTGTCTTATTTTTTTGCTACCTACTTTTCTCTAGTGTTTCTTTACTTTACTTTTTCATTAGGATGCTTTGACTCACCTGACACTTCATAAAATTGTACCCATAGGGTATGATGTCATTATGATGTCATAAGACTCCACAGATACTCCTGCAGGTATTCTGTTGAAAGATATTATGTCATCAAGCTCTAGATTATTCTACTCTACAATGACATCATTCATGATGTCATTTCCTTCTAGAATATTCTGCTCCACAATGATGTCATAGCTCCATCTTTCACTTGTATATTATTCTTTTATTGGGTTTGACCCAATATTTTGATTGGTCCTCCTTATTTTTTATTGTTTGTGAACCTAGGTTACTTTCCCACACAAAATATATATAAGGAGAGCCCATTCTCCCCCAAAAAAATATGATCTCCCATTTGTAGCAATCTGCCTATCAGATATTTCACTTGCAAAGTTAGTCCCTTTGAAGTGAGATAAGTGCAGGGAAAAGAATTCCCTTGAGATTATAAGTTTCTTACCTTAGAAACTTATTTAGTGCTATAGACCAAGCGTTCTTGGTCATATATATTGTCTTTGAGACCTCTTTGTCTCATTGCTCTGTGCCCTTTGACTAAGCGATCTTAGTCATCTATCATATTGTTGAGATCACGTCTCACTAGTTGTCCCATAGACCAAGCAATCTTGGTCAAGTTCCAGTCCCATTTGTTCAAGTGATCTTGAACATATATATAGTATATTTGAGACCGTTGTCTCATAGTTCCAGTGCCCATAGACCAAGCGATCTTGGTCATATTTTGTATATTTGAGACCACGTCTCACTAGTTCCAGTATCCAAGTCCAGAGCCTAGAAGGAGATTTCCTAGGCAAATACGTCCCAGAAACTGAATTACATGTCTAGAAGCTTATTCCTAGACAAGAGATTTGAGTTTCAATAAAGAAAAGTAAAGCTCCGGCTAGGTTGATCTTAATAAAAGATTAGTTTAGTGAGCCTCCCAAGAACTCACACATTATCTACCACGAAATAGGAAAAGTCGTAGACTGTGTTAATCAAGGACTGGCAAGCAGTCTTATCCAAAGTGTAATTGTGGTGTCATTACATTTACACGACTTTATATAAGACCCTCGGTTATTAAGACACCGGGCTGCATTGGCAAGTACAGGCCCAAGGAGACCCGACAAGCGATCCACAACAGTGTGCTCACTCTGTCTGAACCAAGCCAGATACTCATCTGACTTTGACACAAGGCTGGAAACAGCTCCATTGCAAGCATGAGACAACCTGTGCAGTAGCTCACAGTGGCGATATCCAGGTACCTCAAATTCATAGAGAGACATGAATATGGAGGCTGACGAATGTACAATGACAATTGAGACACCGTCAAATGCAACACAACCATAGAAGACGACAGAACAAGCATGACAGTGACAGTGATGAGAGGTAAGCGATTTGAACAGCCATGAACAAAAGTTTTGGGGTGTCAAAGTGATGAGTGTGATATTGTGGGTAATAGAGTGCATCATAGTATGTGGGATAATCATTCATATCATGTGGGATCAAGGGTGGTGGGCAGTCGCGCTCGTCGAGCACTCAAGCGGCATAGCAGGGAGCCTTCATGACAAATGACCTGCAAAAGTATCAGTTCGCAATCAATAATCAGGGCAAGCCAATCTCACATGGGGGGGAATGCACACACACCTGATAACGCACGGAATAGAGAGCGAAAACGAGGAGAGCACCTTCAAGGAACAGAAGTCGGACGGGCTCAAAGAAGTGGAATGAGACATAAAAGTGGGAACTAACCGTGAGAACTCAATCAATTCAAAAGTGGATTCATGGGAATTTGTTGCAAGATTGTTTGTAGAGAAAGGGCCATTTGAGTACTACAGAACCTGACTTAGGAAGTCAGGGAGATAGAGATTCAGTCTGTAGGACAACTTGCCCAATCTAAGTTGCTGAATCCATTGAGCTCTGGAATCACTGCAACACTCCCATAGTGTATGTAGAGACTAACAGTACCAGCAAGGAAATGAAGTACATGCTTGGCTGCAGTGTAATGACATGGTTTAGGCAAGCTATTATGTTGAGCAAATTTCATGACAGCAACAGCTATATCAGGACATGTGTACATGGTGAGATATAGTAATTCGCTGATGAGTTTGCAGTATTCAGTGACAAGATTATTGATATGATGGTACATGTCTGTGTTACAACTGAACAGAAAGTGAGGGTCTATGAAAAGAGTGACAGAGTTGCATCTAACCATCCTGTGTTCCTTGAGAAGGTAGGTATTATATCTGGTCTGGTGCTCATTGATTACTACAGTTTTGCACTAACTTGATCATTTCAAAAGGGTTTTAATTTTATACTATACTATACAATCACTATCAGATAAGTGGAAATTTATGTGTTCTGTTTATTATTGAAGATCTCTCTGCACTTGGAAATTCAGTTACAAAACATTCAAACAAATATGTTCAAGAATATCTATGATTATTTCTTCTATTCTTTGCACCTCTCTTCCTATTCTACTTTAGAGTTTTGCAACTCAGTATAATTAAAATCCTCTTAGATCTGTATAAAGATATTAGCTATCATAAAACTCATATTTCTGCACCTATTTTCTTGAAACAGCATTGTCAGGATGATTTATCCCACTTTTAGAGTAACTCTGACATTAACTAGGCTCTCCAAAGCCATACAAAAGCTTTATCTATTCATCTTACATATAATCTACTGCAATACTTGTATACTGCTTTCTTTCAACAAATTTCTGAGTTATGTGAATCTAAATATAATGATTTCCTTATTAATCTGCAAGATCAATATTAACATTGGTATACTAAAAAGACACTATGGCAAGATATTTGGCAGTATATTATTAACTTTAGATATACACATGACTAAGGCAAGACAATGTACTTCTATTAGTCAGCTACTTCAGGTTCCATATTAGCTTTCCCCTTCAGATGTGAGTTAGTATGATTGTTCTTTCTAGTACTCATATTTTCTAACTTTGGAGCATAAAGCTTTGGCATATTTTGTGGCCCAAAACTTATGATCAAGAAATATGATATCCTATCTGAGAAATTGGAATGCTATGACATCAAGTCAATCTGTCATAGGTGTCCTAGTGAATATGCCTTACTTTCCCTTAGTGAGTTCATGTCATGAGTACCTTTAACAAACCACTATTCTTTCCTAAATCTTCCTAAGCACCAATATCCAGCATCTAGATCAAATCCTAACTCTATCACAAAACTTCCTAAAGCAACGATATCCACAGAGATCCCATTACTGCCCACAACATGTGTGTTTGATATGACAAATAAAGAAGAGTTCTTTGATTGTGAATAGATAAGATTAGGTCACATGATATTTTTTTAATATTCTATAATATTCTATGGTATGATTCCTTTTTCCTTTTTATGATTGGCTAATAGTTACAGCTCAGTTTCAATCTCAGTTTAAATATGTATATATAGGTAGTATGTCTTGGTTGATAGTTCTTTAATTCAAACCTCTTGTTTCTTAGCTTACTGCTTTGCAACTAAGACATCCTTGCTCCTTCCTTGTG